CTTCTCGCTCTCTGAAGCATGGCCCAGAAAATCGTCCCCCGAGTGTGAAACGAATTGCTCACCCTCACAATCAAAAGTTTCGGAATCCTGGTTACCTAAAAAATCATCCCTCGAGAATATACCATTTCGTTTCATGCAATCAGAAGCTTTCTCTTCACTAGTAGGTCTTTTGCATGGAGATTTTGTCTTCCTTCGTTTAGTAGTAGCTACCCCTTCATCAGCAGGTCTTATATGATTACTCAAAGCAGAGGCTAGCATTTTTTCAATTTCTTTGAGTAGAAAGTGGGAGAGTGAGTCCACCCCACTTGTCATAGAAGTTTCAAAAAAAATCCTTGAGAGAGACAATGTCAGGGGGTTGCTCAGTATGGTTATCATCATCAGAAGGAATCAATTCCCTAGGGCAATTCAATGAGTCAAGATGGTCAACATCATATTGGAGCAATGCACTCGAGATGGAGAGGTATGCTTGATAGATGTCCCTATCCAACCAAGAAATGCAGGGTGTATAATCCCACTCAGAGATATTGGAACCTGATGTAATCAACTCAACTGTATCTGGTTAAATCGCTTGTGGTGGTTGTTTGTTATCTAATTCCAACATTTGAGAAATTGCTTTTGATATACCTGCTAAAAATCGGTTAAACCCCAATCCATTTCGTCCTTGAGGTATAAATAGCGACTTGCGTCCCCTTTCAATTATGCGGATGTAGCCACCATAGAAGTTCTCATTATAGAGAATGCAAATGGAATCTTTCAGTTCCAATCTGTTATAGGACCATTTGTCCGATAAAAGTTTAGGAATGGAATCTTTCAACCAAGAGGCCTTTTCCAAACCAAGATCCAAAGCAGATATAATTCTTTGTTTTATTTCAGAAATGCGAATGACACTTATATCAATAATATTGAATTGAAAGGATTTGCTTTCAATTAAGGTACAAAACCCATAATTGAAAGCAGTTGAAATTCGAGCTTGATGTTTCCCGGGAGTATACCTTCTCTCAGCACCCTGAAAAGATCCACACCTATAGTTTGGGAAGGAGCCATATTTGATCTGTCGATTCCTTGGAGCAGCGTTCTCGTCGGCCAGGTATAGTAACTGTAGATTTCTATCACGCCCCCTGAAAGGGGCCTGGTGCTGGCCCGATTTGTAGGATGGAGGAGCTTCCCTTCTGGCCGTAGTCATACTCACGATATCTCTTTCACCGTCTCTATAGTACCGTCGTCGTAGGGGTGGCCAACTCCGAAGGTTCTTAGTCGGAATCTCAGTCCTTTTGTTGCTGGAGTTCCTTTGTAGTAGGTGAGATGGGCCTCGTCTCGTAGCTATTAGAGTAGAGTCGCCGACATACCGCGCACTTTGTCCTCACTCATGCTCGCCCTGAAAAACTTCCCAAGGGGTCACCCATCCCAAAACTACTCCCATGCAAGCACGCTTAACTTTAGAGTTCTTGGCTAATGAGCTCCCTTAAAAGGATATGCACCTTGTTGGTATGAATATTACTATTAATCCATTTATATTAAATATTGTAACACTTGAGATTACTCCGGACCTCTAGTACTGTCCCCACAAACCACCACAGGCCTTTACCGCGCACTTTGTCCTCACTCATGCGCGCCCTAAGAAACTTCCCAAGGGGTCACCCATCCCAAGACTACTCCCGTGTAAGCACGCTTAACTTTAGAGTTCTTGGCTAATGAGCTCCCTTAAAAGGAGATGCACCTTGTTGGTATGAATAGTACTATTAATCCATTTATATTAAATCTCAAGTGTTACAATATTAAAAGAAAATAAAATACAAGAAAGTCATATATATATATGAGTCGGAAATAATGAGGTTGGTAGCTTTTTATGGAATCTGCATATATGAGTTGGAAATAATGAGGAAATAAGATACAAGAAAGTCATATCAAACAGTTCCAATATTGAGTTTGCTAGCAGATTGGTGCAGATCATTATGGAATGTATGCGGTCGGTTTCATACTCTATTCCTTTTGATGAGACCGAGCTTGGACCTATTCTCCCGACCAGGGGTTTGAGACAAGGAGACCCCCCTTCCTCTTATCTGTTTATTATTGTGGTAGACGGCCTGAGTTCCCTTATTCGACGACAGGAAGCAATAGGGCGAATCCATGGAGTTGCAGTTGCCAAGGGAGCCCCACAGATATCTCACTTGCTTTTTGCTCATGATAGCTTGTTATTCTTTCAAGCTAACCAAAGAGAGGCGAAAGCTGTCAAGCGGGTGCTTACTGATTATCAAGCGGCATCTGGACAGGTGTGTACAGGGTGCCTTCCAACTACAGAGAATTTGCATCGCCAAAAGGTGGAATGTCAGGAGAAATGTGGTCTTTGCGGAGAAGAAGGGGAATCTTTGACGCATCTCTTTATCAGGTGTTCGGTAGCTAAAGAGGTATGGAACATGATTGGGCGCTTTTGTGTGAACCAGTCGAATGATTTTTGTTAGTGGGTTGCTCAAAATTTCCGAACTAGGAATGAAGAGGACTTACAGGTGATGGTGTGGGGATGTTGGGCGATCTGGTGCGAGAAAACAAGAGAGTTTGGCAGGGGGAAATGGCTGCAACGAGTCAAGTGGTGCAACGGGCCAGAACTTTTGTTGAAGGTTGGCAACTAGCGCAGGCCGCTAGAAGTCAGCCCGTAGCCGGGGCAGTTGCTGGTCCATCCTCATGGTAGAAACCTTCTATAGGTTGCTTGAAGCTTAATGTTGATGCTTCACTCCAGGGAGAAAGATGCGGTTGGGGTTGGGTGCTGCGGGATGAAGAAGGGATGTTCGTTCCAGGAGGAGTTGCCTCTTGTTGGGGGAAATTCTCACCGATTGAAGCTGAATTGATTGGTATCCGTGAGGCACTTAGCTGGCTGAAGGGACGGAGTTGGAATCGGGTGGATGTGGAATCAGATTCTAGTTGGGCTATTTCTGAAATTTGGAAGGGATCAAGTATATCTTCATTGGGTCTTTTGGCAGATGACATTAGAGAAGCAAGCAAGGAATTTAGTAATATTTCCTTTTCACATATTAGACGTTCTGCGAATAGGGTTGCTCATACTCTAGTTAGAGTAGCCGGTTCTAAGTCTGAATGTCGGTTTTGGTTGACGATTCCTCCCTCTTTTATTGTTAATGTATTGAACAATGATCAGATTAATGATAATTAATTCATTTCCCTTCACAAAAGAAAAGATACGAGAAAGTCACTAGCTATCATAAGATACAGTTCGCTACAAGTTAGGATAGAAAGAAATGTTCTGGAGTACAAACATATATGAAAGTACTTGCATTTTATTTGGTTGAATTTTACCTTATACTATCCTCGAGAAAAGGGTCAAATAAGACCTACTATTATGAAATCATCACATAGGGTCATGTACTCAATAAAGTGTCATATAGATACGTCTACTTGTGAAAAACAATCAAATGAGTCCTAACGACCCGTTGACAACCTCTTAATCCCGATTTTAGCTTACATGTCAACTTTTTTGACTTGTATTTCAACCAATCTTAGTTAAATATTCAACATTTGTCGTATAATCTATTCTAAAAAGGTGGTAAGAAGTGTGTTAAAATCGGGATTATGAGGTTTTAAATAGGTCGTTAGGACTCATTTGTTTGTTTTTTTACAAGTAGGCGTATCTATATGACACTTTATTGAGTACATGGCCCTATGTGACGATTTCATAATAGTAGAAGGCCTTATTTGACCTTTTTCTCTACTATCCTCTGTTCTTTAATTCTTGCAACAGTTTGACTTTCACGTTTGCCAATACACAACTTTGACTGTAATAGTAAATATTATAAAAAGTTGATATTTTGGAAATTCACATTGATAGGAATTCAATAACATTTTATACGTAATAATTTGATTATGTATATTAGTAGAAAATCGTGGTCAAAGTAAGGTTTGTGAATAGTGCAGAAATCATAAAGTTGCAAGAATTAAAGAACGGAGGAAGTATATAATCAAAATATGGATATTGGACAAAAAAATAAGTTGATACGCAGTAACTTTTAGTGACTATATTAACGTTGAAATCGTACATAATAGTGGCTAAAAATACTTATAGTCATTTAACTCCTATTTTAGAGAGAAAAAACTCTATTCGTATAGCACAAAATCCGCACAATTTCTTATTTAGTTTTCCAACTAAAATTGGTATACTGTCTCATTATTATTTGTGCAAATATCAATCACATAATCTTTTTTCAGTGTGAGATAAACTTGACAAAAAAGGGATATATGGAGTACATTTTTGATAGAAGAATAACCGACAGACAAAGAGTAAAGTGAGACAAACATGTTACAATATGAGTGAACCGCGTTGCTACTTGCGCCATTGCTTCCATTAATAAACCGTAAAAGAGAATTGGTAGCAGGCAAAATATTATAAAAACAAGTAGAAGTTTTACCAATCGTGACAATCAAGAACTTGAAAGATACTTGTATATGAATTATCAAACCGAGATTTGAAAGATGAAGTGTGTATGTATAAGATTCGAATGATTGAAAACTATCAATAAAAGACCTAAAGTTCCACATATTTTGATTTATTTAATTTTTTTATTAATTGCCTTCCTAATTTTTGATGAAATTTTCTTCACAAAAGTTTAGTCTAATAAAACTAAATAAAATTTGAAATTTTAAAATATAGTAGTAATAAAACTCAGGACAATATAGATCTTAGGTTAATAGTTTTCAATCATTCAAACTAAAACGAAACTAATAAGAACAAGAATATGATCCCATCACCAATCCACCATTATAGTGATATACGGAGTACTTGTTATGTAATAAGAAGAAAATAGTAATATTGTGTCCTTAGCAATCAATTAGTAAGAGAGCTGCTTGGGGTACCCCAATTTGTACCCCAAAGTGTACACCGTCTGTGTACACAGACATTTGGGTAGAAAGTTCTGCCCTCTTTCAAACGAATTGCCTGTGTACACAGGCAATTCAGGGGGTGGGTACAAATTGGGATACAATTTGGGGTACCTATAGAATTTTTGAATTAGTAATTGCCTAACTAATTGGAGTACATGGCCTGGAACCATATACTACCTTCCCAGGGACAAGTTCCCAATTTCCTTTTTTGGCAGTCCCAACAAGAAGTTCTCATTTCCCTAAATGGAAAGTTATTCTACATCAAAACAATGTCAAACAGTGCAAAACAGTGCAAAACAGTGTCAAAACAGTGCCAAACAGTAAAATTTACCCCCCAGTAACTTTATTTCCTTAATATGTGTGAAAGTCAACCCGAGAACTTCTCCCTGGAACGGAGGGAGTATAATCAAGTGCAGGTGGGGTAGGGGTCGCTTATCTTGGGGGACTAGGATTGTTCTTGTCTGCATACCCATAGTAAAGCGTGCTGATGATGATGTGCAAGAACACCACAAGACCTCCAATGGCAGGAGCAGCAGCTGTAGGGCATACCTTTTTACTATGCGGTTCCTGAAAACTTGGAGGGTAAGCCGTTGTGGGGTCACTATTAGGTATAGAGGGGCACATCTTAGGTGTAGATTTCCCCTTTCTTGGTATTCCCAACCCTAGAAGAACACATCCTACAACACAAAGGAAACTGACCGATCCACCGATCGATACCGTGTATGTTATGTACAGATAATCACATAGACGCAAGATGATAAGATGACTCATAATATTAGATTGACGGATAGATAGCAGGGCTCAGAATTATGTTCATATTAGCCCGTTATTAGCCACATAATTTTATTTATTTGCATAACTGATCATATTTATACTGTCCCTGTCCTACTAACATTGAGATATGATTGGTGCATGGTTATTAAAAAAGTGAGTTTATGTGGTTTATATATTGAATTGATAAACTAAAAACAAATGAAAGTGATTCAGAACCACACAAATTTTACCAAAGTTTGTATGAGACAATCTTAGTGAGATTTCACGAAAAAGAAAAATCGGACAACTTTTTTTTTTGTGAGAAAAAATGGGACAATCTTAGCGAGACGTAAGGAGTAACTTATAAATTTATTCATATGAAGAACTTGTCCACTACTCCCTTTATCTCAAGTCAAGGAACTCATATCATGTGCCTCTTTTGGACATCAAACTTAAAAGTTCTCATTTCCATTTTAGTAATAATAATTAGCTCCTTGATATGATAACACGTATTAAAATTAGCACCCATTACGTCACAAATGCCATCAATTACCCATTGAACTAATTCTCACTATATTCAAATTAGCTTACTACTCCAAATTTAATTGTTGGTTAGAAAGTGTGTCATATTTTACTTTCTCTCGTCACGTAAATGAGATCCTTATATAGATGGCAATTGTCACCGATCCAATGGATACCCGCACCGAACCGTCCCGGTCAAAACGGGGAAAACCGCATTGACCGGGTAACGGGTATGAGGCGGGGAATACCCGTTTTGTTTTTACGGGTAACGGGGCAGTTACGGTTTTATACATGCCCGCCCCATTACCCGCCCCGTACCCGCCCCGTTTATTTTAGTTATATTTTTATTACATTTTTATCTATTATTTGTCCCATGAGTAATAGAAGATGAGATTTTTCTATTTTCATTGAGTATATGGATAATAGATGTACTAACTATAATGTTTCCATGAGAGTTCATAATAGATCTTAATAGTCTTGTTTGATTATTATCAGATTTTTAGTGAATAATTATTTTTTCAGATTAAGTTTTTTAGGTTCAAATTAATTTATGTTGTCTTCTTTCTCGTCTTGTAGATATACGAAACTTTACAGGGGCGTCTCATTCTAGAGTTATCTAGGTGATGTCATTTTTTCGCCTTTTAAAATATTATTTTTATATTAAAATATCAATGACTCATTTAATAAAGCGATTACCCACGGTTACCCGCGGTTATACCCGTTACCCGTTGGGGCGGATACGGTTTGGATAAAAATTACCCGTTGGGTAATGGGACGGTTATGGGGCGGGGAATTATCAAATGGGGCGGGTACGGTTATATGTAAAACCGTCTCCGAACTGCCCCATTGCCATCCCTAGATCCTTATATATAATATAATTATATATATGACACGTCAAAATCACCGGCCGGAGCCGTTGAAGGCAGTTCCAAATGCAAAACTGAAGCCCTATTTGATTTTAGTTATTGCTATAGATATTGTAATACTATATGATATAACTACTGTATATAATAAGAGGGAAAATTCTGATTAGGCGCGATGTTGATTATGTTATGAAAGGTAGATTATGTCAATAAAAGGTTAGCTTAAAATTTTGTTAAAGTGTATGTGCAGTGTTTTTCAATAATTTATTTAACCAACTTCCCGATTGAACTTTAAATTAAAATTTGTGGACATAATGTAAATTTTATGGAGAATATTCTCACAAAATTTTATAAAACAAATCGACCCGAAAGCATCTCAAATGGGTGTCTGTACGAGACAAATCATTTTTCAATATATTAAAAAAAAATTGGGGCCTCCAAATTTGTTAGGCCCTATTCTAGATGGGAGATTTACCTTAATAGGATCAAAACATGGCTTTTTTCTCAAAATAGGAGTACCTAGTTTAAACATCCTTAAATAGGACTTTTTATTAGTAATTGGACCAAAATACCCCTCACAACCTTTACCACTGCTGCCCAGGGACTGCCGGAGCTCCGGCGACCGCCGCCGGAAAAATTCCAGATTTTTTTTTCTGGAGGTTTGCCAACATTCTGCCGCCACCTGCCGCCGGCCGCCGCCGGCCGCCGCCTCCGCCGGAAACCGCCTCTTCCACTGCCGCCAACCTGCCGCCACCTCCGGACTGCCCCGCTACCAACGGACTGCCTTGGTTGTGCAAGAGAACTAGGGGGGAAATTAATTGGGTTAATTAATTGCCGGAGTTCCGCCGCCGCCGCCGGAATCCGCCGCCGGCCGCTGCCGGAGTGCTGCCGCCACCACGGACTACCCCGCCACCGACGGACTGCCTTGGTTGTGTAAGGAAACTAGGGGGGCAATTATTTAGATTAATTAATTAATTAAATAGAATTAGGGGTAAAAAAAGGTAAGATTAGTCATATTTAGAGAAAAACATGCATGTGTCCTATTTTGAGAAAAAGGTTGAGTTTTAGTGCTATCTTGGACAATTTTCTCATTCTAGATGACCAGTTGAACTTCATAAAAAACGGCCGTGAAAATGACAATCTTAAATGACAACTTTCAACCGACAAGGAGAAGTAATAACATATTAACATGTGTACTAAGAAGAGGTTTGAGAAAACATACATCATTAAATGGAAAAACCCAACAACCTTCATTTTCTTGGTACTCTCAGGAGTCTCAGGATCATCCGATGTAGGACATTTGAAGTGACAACCTCCAATTAAAAAAAAGATGACTTGACAAATCACAATGGAAATTATGGCTATCGAGAGAGCAACGACCACCGCCAGGCCCGCATCACAATCATATTTTTCACCACCGCCACCAAAATTGCCGGGGATAATACAATCAGGCATCACATATCCGTTCACCTATTCGTTCGCACGAACAAAAAACACATCACATTAATCCTTATTCTTTTTGGAAGGAAACAGATTGAAATATCAATAAAATCAAAGCTACAAAGTAACAAAACCAGATTGATAACATCAGAACAAGAAATTTTTCCGATGGAATACCAGTACACATCATGATACGGTAACACTCACTCTGAGAGCCCGTGGTAATCCCCATTCTTAACTCATGAGTCTTACCGGAAACATTCTTTTACCAAATACATACATGACTTTTGATTCGCGCGCCGGTGGTGTAATAATCAAGATAAGTAAGATTGTAATTGCTTGTGAATTCGTTAAAGTCACTATAGAGGAATATTTTCCTTATTTTTTCATATATTTTTTTTCTTTATTTTATTAATAAAATATATTTAAACTTAATTATCCCATAATTTAACATATTTTGTCAATTAAGTCGCCTCAAATAATTTCAATGTTACGTTTTAGTAACTCTAATTCTAGCTTCGTTTGACGTCCTTGTCATTTTGGTAGAGCGATTTCTATTATTTCAATTATTATACTCCCTTTGTCTATTAAAGAATTTCCAACTTTCTTTTTTCGTCCGTCTCATTAAAATTTTCACTTTCCCTTTTTGATAAAGAATTTGTTGTTCACAACATTTTTTACATATTTCTCTCTCCTCGGCACAACTCTCCACCACACAATATTCACTTTCTTAATCTGTGTGCCATTTGTACTATTGAAGAACAATCAGGGACGAAGGGAGCATGAAAGTAGAAAGCTTTGAGAAAAGTGTCAAATTGACTCTACTACTATGTACGGAAATTCATCTAACCCCGTACTTTAACTTTTTTCAATTTTACCCTCCTCCTACGTAAATTTCATCAGATATGATTTTTAGCACATGTGGACCGAAGCGGCGCGCATGCTGCGGCCCAAGTCCGTTCTTTTTCACTTTCTCCTTTCTTCTTTTTCTTTTTTTCTTTCTTTATCACTATAAGAAATGTTACACTTGGTGACACACATTTTTATTGAGACAAACAAAAGTGTCACAATAGCTTCTATATGTTGACACTTTAATGTGACAAGAAAAATAGATTTCTTATTGAGTTTATATAATAATTCAACATACGCATGTTTAAACTTTCATCACTAAACCAAAGAAGTACTTGGTCGTTTTTTAGAAAATATGCTAATTTAGTTTTTTAGAAAATATACTAAAGAAGACACTTATAAAAACATTAATGAAAGCCAAAATAAAGTTACAGAATACTGGGATCTGGGTCGTTAGGACTCAAACCAACATTTAAACTTTAATTTTAAAAACCAAAAGATAGAAGAGATCTTTTAGAATCCTATGCTCATCGGAAAGAGACTGGTTCGTCGCGTCATGGAGATGTTATAGCTGAACCAAACAAAATCCCTGGGAGTAATTTCTGAAAGAGACGCTCATCAGAAAGAGACTGCTAGGATCTTTTCGCTTTTCAATATCCATCGGACTGTTAATGCTTTTGCTTAGTATCGATTTAATATTTGATCCTCTGCTAGAGTTAATTCATGCCTCCTTAATTATATTGATCCAGCACAATGAAAAAGGCTTTCTACTTTGCATTGATTTGTATCCCTGGTGTGTGATTGTATACACAAATGATAAAATTTGTAATATAGATCGTGAGTAGAGTGAGTTGAGATCAATTCTGTTACCCCATACTTCTTAGTTTATACGTGAGTTAAGATCAATTCTGTTACCCCACAATTTTGATTTTATAAATTTAATTAACAAAATCAAATCATATTTATGTGATATGTCTATACTTTTATATATATTAATTTATAGCAAGGTTTTAAATAGTCGTAGCGGCAGCGGTAGCGGTCATCGCGGTAGCGGCCTGTAGCGGCATGTAGCCGACTGTAGCGGTTGCAGCGACGTGAAATATTTTCAATTGCGCAAAACATAAATGTATTTTTTCACATCATTCACACAACATTTAATTTTGAGTTTCACTCCATGCATCACCATTATGTATTTTTTTCACATCATTCACACAACATTTACACATTTACACATGAAACGGTTCGTGATGTACTGCCGGAAATGTCAATAGCGGGCGGCGTAGCGGATTTTTCCTGTGATTTAGAAATCACACACGAATAGCGGGCCGTAGCGGTAGCGGCCCCTACAGCAACCGCTATATAGCGGCCGCTATAGCGGCCCCTACCGCGACCGCTATATAGCGGCCACTATTTCAAACCATGATATGTAGTTAGTAATAATGATTGATTTCTATACTATATACTTTGGTGAACTTAGTGAGCTTGATCTATCACTGATTCAATATTAACGCTAGATAGTTCTAGTTGTGTTATATATTAACTTTTGATTTTTCGTAAGAGAACATTAGCGTTCTATTTGATACACCACTGAAATTTCAGGCCATGAAATCAATTTTATATACAAATTCTTACTTTAATCTATATATCTAAATAGCAAAATTGAATTGCATTTATTCTTTGTAATTATACCTTACACAGATTGTATATTAAAACTCGAACCCGAAAAAATGGTACCATCGTCAATTTTGCAGCAACTACAGTTGTGGTAATAGACTTTGACTTTTTGATTTCTCATTTTCCTTGAATGTTGTTTGCCTACTTGTTTCAAGAACCAGAAATAGAAATGTTGGTAGAAGAGTTCTATAATTAGAACTCTCATAAAGCAAATGCTTCTAATTACTGTTTAACTTCAAATGTCTCGTTATTAGTTATTGTATGAATTTTAAACTAGCTTGTTTGTTCAGCAAGCTCTTCATAATGTGATGGATGAGGATGTGTGTGCTCAAGATTCTGAAGATAGTGTTGATTGGAGAAATGATAGATGACTTAACAAAGGTGAAAGGACCTGAAAAAGAGGCCGAACTCCCTGCGTAGAGTTTACGATAATGAAGGATAAAAGTGCTTCATCTTCTCAACAATCACAAGTGCCTATCCAAGACCCACAAGTGCCTATTCTTCAAGCTCAAGTTTCTACCCTTACAAGAAAGGTTGATATTTTGTTGAGTGCTTTCAAACAAAACATGACTTCTCAACAATTGAGCGGAATCCTCAACAGTTTAAACAACGAGGTAATCTTTCAAGATTTGATGTGTTATCAAAGGAAAAATTTATATATGTTTTTTTTATTATAAAAAGGTGATCAGATTAATATAACTTAGTACCATGCCCAAACAGAGTATAGCAGATGTTAATAATAGTGATATTATTCACATGGTGGTTCTTATCCAAGTCACTCTTCTTGGCACTAGTCCCAATCTCTTGGCAGGATCCTCCAGGCTCCAGCTTAGCTATTTTCTTTAGACTTGTGTTATTTTCTATTCCAACTACATCACTGCAATGATTTCTTTACATTTATTCACGTTAACTCCCATCTTTATTTTGACATCTTCACACTGTGTAAATGTACATGTAGCTCTGTTTTCTGTAATTGATATCAGGTCTTGTGTTAATTGAGATGCAACTTTCATATGTTTATGCAGTGCGAAGTATTTTCCTGAAGTTCCAAATCCAAATGCACTGTGTTTAGAATCACACATTATTTTTCCTTCATGTCAGTAAAGCTCATATCATTAGGTTGATTGTGTTCTAAGTTTTCTGATTATGGATGACTCTTAGTAGATTCACTACCCAAGTGACAAGATTGTGATGGGTGTAGGTGTGTCACTTTGTAGAACTGAGTGATCACTTTTGTTCGTGTCTTCATTTTCATATGTTTTATGATCACTATTTTGAAAAGTACCTAATAGTTTATGTTCTCTGCACCTTTCTTGTACTAAATTCATGTATTCATACATAAACCCATATTCATGGTTGACAGAAGTGCGTTTATGGTGTCGTCCTAATTCTTGGCAGCACACTTAAGCGATGTGTATCTGCTGTAAATATGGACGTATAGCAAATAGTAGTCTTTATGAGGGCATGCATAGATCAATTGTTTCCTTTTAAGACTCCTACATACTATCCTCCGTAGCGCATTAGTTGCAACATTGCAATTTATACACTGATCATGTACTTTACTTTGACTACATTTTATTTATTAATGTGTGTGAATTATTTTTTTTGAAAAATATTGTTGAATTTGTCTCATTACTAAGTTTCACAATCTCATTACTAATACAAAAATAAATATAATATTGGTTAAAGTTGTGCGTTGGCAAACGAGAAAAGAGAAATGTTGCAACTAAAAAAGAACGGAGGAAATATATTGAGGTTTATGGCTGACATAAATGTGTTTATGGTGTCGTCCTAAACTCCTAATTCTTGGCAGCACACTTAAGCGATGTGTATCTGCTTTAAATATGGACGTATAGCAAATAGTAGTCTTTATGAGGGCATGCATAGATCTATTGTTTCCTTTTAAGACTCCTACATACTATGTATATTGAGGTTTATGGCTGACATAAATGTGTTTATGGTGTCGTCCTAAACTCCTAATTCTTGGCAGCACACTTAAGCGATGTGTATCTGCTTTAAATATGGACGTATAGCAAATAGTAGTCTTTATGAGGGCATGCATGGAGCAATTGTTTCCTTTTAAGACTCCTACATACTATGTATATTGAGGTTTATGGCTGACATAAAAGTGTTTATGGTGTCGTCCTAAACTCCTAATTCTTGGCAGCACACTTAAGCGATGTGTATCTGCTTTAAATATGGACGTATAGCAAATAGTAGTCTTTATGAGGGCATGCATGGAGCAATTGTTTCCTTTTAAGACTCCTACATACTATGTATATTGAGGTTTATGGCTGACATAAATGTGTTTATGGTGTCGTCCGATCCTAAACTCCTAATTCTTGACAGCACACTTAAGAGATGTGTATCTGCTGTAAACATGGATGTATAGCAGATAGTAGGCTTTCGGAGGGCACATTTGGTTAATAGATTTATGGCTGGTTTGGCTCTCTGGTTTATGGCTTTCTTTGATTATTTAATACTTCAAAGATTTATGGGCTTCTTTG